GGTTAATTTAAAAAAAGTGAGATTAAAATTTTAAGAAATTATATAGAAAATATTTTCATAATCAAAATATATATTAATGTTTTTATATGAAATAATCTTTGAATTAAACTACCTGAAAAATATGTCAATAAAAAATTATGACTCGATATGATATTATAGTCATGGTCCTTTTTTGATAAAATATACAGAGGTGAGCTGACCTTGACCGCGATTAAAAAGTTGCTTTTAAAAAATCGTATATATTCAAGCGCTCGTATACCTATGTCTATATATGTATATATGATGGATATCTTATAATAAATGGCTCACTTTTGTATCTTATTTATTTTAAGGTACCCGTTATATATATAAACTTCTTCATAGAATACAAGACCATCTTATTCAAAATTAAGACAAAATAGATAATTTTAACAGCTAAATAAATAAGTTAATTCATTAGTTCTAATTATCTAATTAAAGCTTAGTTTATGTATCAATTTACTGTATGTTGTATATATATTTACTATCAATAGGCATTGTTAATATAAAATAATTTTTGAGAGTAGAAATTACATATATGTAGCAATTCAGCTCTATTACGTTTTTTTTACTTTTGACAAATCATAGAAATTTTTATTAAACTTAACAGCATTATAATCATCTAAAAACTTATAAATAGTTTCATATTCCAGATTACTCTCGTAGATACTTCTATAGCTATCCGACAATTTCACAAATCTACGAAATTCATAAATATTTTAAGACTTTTTGTGCTTGTACACTACTAATCAAACATTAACTATAGCATGAAAAATATTAATCACATTAGAAATTCATCTATAGATTTTTCTAATTTACAAAACACAATAGAAGTCCAATGTGAAGAGATTTATAAATTATATTTGATTTATCAAATAACAAAAATAATTCTAATATTTTCTAATAAAAAACAAAACAAAATACATAATCTCACTAAATTATAGTCATATTTGTATAGAACTAACACTATTTTCAATTAAAAATTAAATTAATCTTAGATTTTGTTTTAGATATAAAACTCTATTCTTTTAATCCAGAAAAAAAATATTTAATCAAGAACACTAATGGCAACTATAAATAATAATAGTACATCATTAGAACCGATAGCTTTAATAGGTATGTCCTGTGAATTTGCAGGTGATATTCATTCACCTAATGATTTATGGGATGCATTAAAAGAAAGTCGTGATGTTGGTAGTGAAACACCAATTGATCGATTTGATCTTGAATCATTTACTGCTCATATGATTAATATGGATAATAATGGACAACTTCGTCAAAAACTTCTTCGTGCTGGTTATTTTATGTCAAATCGACAATGGGATATGTTTGAATCAAGTTTCTTTGATTTATCAGATGCTGAAGCAGGCAGTGTTGATCCATGTCATCGATTACTTATGTTAAAATTTGTTCATTTACTTGATGATGCTGGATACAGTGTTGACAAAATCAATGGTACAAAAACATCAGTACATATTGGACAATTTTCAACAGATCATGCAATTGCAACAACTCGTATGAAACCTGAACATCGATCAAGATTTCATGGACCTAACAGTTTATTATATAATGCTTCAACTCGTTTATCATATCATTTTAATTTACATGGTCCAAATGTATCATTAGATGTTGCTTGTTCATCATCTTTAGAAGCTTTACATATGGGTGTACAATGTCTTCGTACAAATGAAGCGGATATGGCTGTATGTGGTGGTGTTAATGGAATTTTTGCACCAGAAAGTTTTCTACAAAGTTCACTTATTGGTGCACAATCACCTGATGGAAGAAGTCGATCATTTAGTGTTGATGCTAATGGTTATGCTAAAGGTAAAAATTTCAATTGATTTATTTTTATTTTTAAAATAAATTTCAATTTCAATTGTTCAGGTGATGGTCTGGGTCTTTTATTATTAAAACGATTAAGTGATGCCGAACGTGATGGTGATCGTATATATTGTGTTATTCGTGATGTACTTAGTGGCCATGATGGAAACGAAGATAAACTAAATTTTGTCGTTCCATCAGCTGCCGGACAAGGCCGATTATTAGCAAATATCTATTCAAGAAATAATTTTGATACTCGAAAAATCTTATTTGTTGAAGCACATGGTACAGGTACACCAGTTGGTGATCCAATTGAAGCTAATTGTTTAGGTCGATTTTTTAATCGATCAAATCTTGATCCACCATTATTATTAGGTTCGATTAAAAGTAATTTAGGACATACAGAAGGTGCAGCTGGTGTTGCATCACTTATTAAAGCTGCTATGTGTATGCATCATCGTGGTATTACAGCAAATATGCAGTTTACTTCACTTAATCCAAAAATAGATGCACAAAAATATAATCTACATGTTGTTCAAAATTTTATACCATTTCCATCTCTTCCAAATAATGAAAAAATAGCTATAGGTGTTAATTCATTTGGAATGGGTGGTACAACGACACATGCTATTATTGAAGAATATCAACCAAATAAAAAAACATCAATTACAAATGGTCATATCAATGGATATGACATTAAAAGTAAACAATATTTCACTTTTATCTTTTCAAGTAAGTTCTTAATTTCTATTCATTCATTAAATAATTTATTTCTTCTTATTCAGCAAAAAGTCGTCAATCTCTTAATAATCAATTAATTGAATTCAATCGTTGGTTAGAAACAAAACCAATTAATAATATAGATGATGATGATGATGATAATGATGATCAAGCTTTTCTTCAACGTATATCTCAACAACTTCTTCTCAAAAGAACTATTAGTTATACACATTCAGCAATCTTTGTTTTTCTCAATCGTCAACAATTACAAGAACAAATCAATGCTTTTCTTACTGAACAAGCATCGCCAGGCCTTTCAATCATATCACGTCCAACAAAACCATTAGCACAAAAAATATGTTTTGTTTTTAGTGGACAAGGTCCACAATGGTGGGCTATGGGTAGACAATTATATGAAAGTGAACCTTTATTTAATAAATGGATTAATTTAATTGATGCAGAAATGACAAAAATTAATAAGGGTGAATGGAGATTATTAGAAGAATTAATTGAAAAGAAAAATGAACAAGAATCTCGTATTAATGATACAAATATTGCTCAACCAACATTATTTGCTATACAAGTTGCATTAGCAGCTTTACTTGTTTCATGGAATATTTATCCATCAACTATTATATCACATAGTGCTGGTGATCAAGCAGCTGCTTTTGTTGCTGGTCGTTTAAGTTTAGAAGAAGCTGTTCGTGTTGTTTATCATCGATCACGTCTTCAAAATCGTAATACAAGACAAGGTGGTCGTATGTTAGCTGTTTCAATGAGTGAAGAAGAAGTACAAAACAAACTTCTGAAAGGTATTGAACATTTGGCTTGTATTGCTGTTGTTAATAGTCCTCGCTCAGTAACAATAAGTGGTGATGAAAAAACTATTGATGAAATACAACAAATTCTTTCCATATCTTATCCTAATGTATTCAAAGCACGTCTTCGTATTGAAAATGCATTTCATCGTATCAAATAAATCAATTTGATACTGAAAAAGAAATGCTTTCCTCATTGAAAGATATTCGAGGACTTCCAGTACAAGATCAAAAACAAATTTTTGATCCGATATGTGCAAAAGCAAAACTTTATTCAAGTATTATTGGTGAGCAAATGAATGATAATATACCAGTTGACGGTCAATATTGATGATCAAATGTGAGACAAGCTGTGAGATTTTATGATGCTATAGCAGCAATTATAAAAGATGAAGCAGCAAATGTTTTTCTTGAAATTTCACCACATCCAGTTTTAGCTACATCTATTCGTGAATGTTATGAATTAACAAATCAACAACAATATGATCACCACCACTTATTCTTCCAACATTAAAACGAAAAGAAAATGAACAAATAACATTATTTACTAGTTTAGCACAACTTACAACATCATCTCATGTATGGTAAAAATATTTTCATACTCGTCAAATTTTATCTATGAAAAATCATGAAGAATATTTTGATAATTTTCCATTATATAAATTTCATTTAAGTCCATGTTGGTATGAATCAAAAGATTCATCTATACAACGTTTAGCGAATCGTATACCTACTCATCCATTACTTGGTGTTCGTCAATTAAATGATCAAACAAGTGCAACATGGAAAAGTCTTATTAATATTAATTTACCACAACATGCTTTCTTAAAAGATCATAAAATTCAAGATGCAATTCTTTTTCCAGCAGTTGTTTATCTTGAACTTGCAACAGCTGCTTGTCAACAATTACTTTCATCAAAAGAAGATGATCAACAACAACAACAACAACCAACAATTATTTTTGAAGATATTAATTTTACTAAAGCACTTATTCTTAATGAACATGAATTGATAGAAGTATTTACACAAGTAATTATGCCAATGCGTGAATGGTATATTTATAGTCGACCATGGTCAACAGCTGGTCCAGATTGTATGCGACCATCAGGTATGACTTGTACTGATGTTGTTGAATCTTTTCGTGATCAAAATAATCTTAATAAATATTCATTAAATGAATTTACTTTACATGCTCGAGGTAAAATTGAAATAGATTTTAAAGAACAAAAATCATTAACAATACCTCCTCTTAATACAATTAATGATACATGGTCAACACAAGATATAGCAAGTGCTTATGCACATCTTTCAACACGAGGTTATCAATATGGATCTAGTTTTCAAAAAATAAAAACATTACGTGGTACTTCAACTACAGCTATATCTGAATTATCGAATGATGACGATACTGATTGTTCATCTTTTTATTTACTCCATCCATCTGTAATGGATTCTGCTTTTCATCCATTTCTAGTTTTATTACCTGGTATTGAAACAACATTTCTTCCAGTACGTATTCAAAAATTTATTTATTCAAGTAAAACAAAAACAAAGATGAATCAATCAACAAATGTTGAAGTACGTGGAAAGTATCATGATAATATATGTGGTATAGGTCAAGAAGGAACATATAGTCTTGATTTATGGACATTTCCAATGGATAATAAAATCGAAGAACCAATATTTACATTTGAAGGTGCTGTTATTCAACAAGTTCAAGGTGCACATTCTGGTCGATGGTCAATGGAACAAACAATATATGATAAATTAAATATACAAACTGATTTACCTAATACTGATCATAAAACATATTTAAATACCATTGTAAAAGATTATTGTATGAAAAGAGTATGGACTGATTCACCAATAACAAAAGATATATCACATTTACTTCCATCACCTAATCAAATTCTTAATAATGAACTTAATTCTAATAGTAATCAAGATTTAATTGAATCAATAGAACCATTTAATGAATTAGCTGCTTATTATGCTCAAATGGCAATTAAAGATCTTAATTTAAATCAACAACATCATCCATTATTAAATGCATGTCGTTCTCTTGCGTCAACTTTACATTCAAAACAAGTAACATGGCATTCAACACAACTTCGTCTTATTCAATTAATTGAACGTTTTCCTCGTTTAAAACCATTTTTAATAGCATTAAACAAATATGGTTCACATTTAAAAGATATTCTTAGTGGAGAAAAAAATGGATTAGATATATTTGTTGATGATGAGGAAATTGCACAAACTTTTCAACAAGTTAAAACTCTTATAAGTGCAATTAAAACACAACAAATTTTTCATTCTATTTGTCAACATTTACAATTACAATATGAACAAACTAAAGATAATTCATTTGAAAGTTATCGATTACGTATATTTTGGTTGACTGATAGTGATTGTTCAGATGTTTTACCTATTCTTGATCTTCTTCTTAATTTATCACAACAAACAGGTTTATTAATTGATTTACATTATGCAGATTCTGATCCAATACAACTTGCAAATGCTCAACAAACATTTAATACACATCTAACTAATCAAACAAAAAATTTATCTATTATTTGTGATGAAACAATTGATTTATATGATAGTAAAACACTGGAAAAAATTCCATTCGAATCATTTGATATTATATTATCTGCAAATCAACTTCTAGGAAATCAAGATTTGACAAAAAAAAATTCTTTAATTTCTCTTCGTCGTTTACTTGTTCCTAATGGTCTTCTTTTATTACTTGAATTAGTTCATGTTCCTCTTTATTTTGATCTTATTTTTGGTTTTTTTGATCAATGGTGGTCATCTGATAATAATAATCGTTCATTAAATAATATTCAGCAATGGACAACATTATTGGAACAAATCGAAGGATTTAATATTATTGAATCAACATTAAATCAAAATGAAAGTACATTAATTATTAGTCAAAAAAACAACATCGAATGAAATATTACAAACACTTAATGAAAGAAAAAATCAAACATGGTTAATATTTACTAAAGACGATAATAATAATAAAAATAGTTTTAGTCATATTCTATCATCATTATTACCATGTTCAAATATTAAAATTTTTGATATTCATAATGCAACTTTAGATATGATTTGTTCTGTAATACCAGTTCTATTAACTACTTATAAACAAGTATCTATTATTTTTGCATGGCAACTTGATCAAACATTACTTAATGAAAATAATGATGATTTAGCATTTAAACAAAATGAAGAACTAATATGTGGAACATTATCACATATTCTTCAAACAATTCAAAAATCATCACCATATTTTTATCCATTCGTATATGTTCTTACAGATCATGCTCAATTTAATAATGATTCGAATCTTAATTTAATTGCATCGCCATTTATTGGTCTTGCACGAAGTTTAATAACTGAATATGAACGAAATCGATTAAAACTTATTGATCTTCAAACATCATTAAATAATAATAATCAATCAAAATTTATTTATACTCTAATAGAATATATGATTAATTCAAGATATTCAACTGATACTTGTGAAGTTGTTCTTCGTCTTAATGATACAAATCAAAATCAAGTTCAACATTTAACATGGCATTATGAAATGTTACAAAAATCTTCTGATGACGAACAAGAGAAATCTAAATTAGAACAAATTTCTATTATTCCTAAACGAGATGCTGATGAAAAAGCATTTCGTATTTGTGTACCACAATCTCGTTTTCTATCTGAATTAACATGGATTGAAGAAGATAGGGAAAAAGAATTATTACCGGGTGTGGTAGAAGTTCGTGTTCATTGTGTTGGAATTAATTTTCGTGATGTACTCAAATCACGTGGTCTTTATCCACATACGCGTCCTTTTGCACAATCTGATGAAAATCAACCAAAACTTGATCGAGATACAGAACCAGGTTCAGATTTTGTTGGTACTATTGTACGTGTAGGTCCTACAACAACTAATTTTCAAGTTGGTGATCATGTTGTAGGTGTTACTGGTGATGGTACATATCATTCTCATATTATTATTAATTCACAACTTATAATACATATTCCATCTAACTTTCCCCTTACTGATGAACAATTATGTGGTCTACCATGTCTAATTTTAACAGTTATATATTCTCTTAAATATCGTGTTCATTTACAATCTAATCAAACTGTTCTTATTCATGCTGCAACAGGTGCTGCAGGTCAAATGTGTATTCAATATTGTCAATATATTGGTGCTCGTGTGATTGCTACAGCTGGAACTGAAGAAAAACGACGTTTTCTTCGTGAACATTATGGTATTGAACATGTCTTTAATAGTCGAGATACGTCTTTTGTTAATAATATACGTGAAATTCTTCCACAAGGTGTTGATGTTATTGTTAATTCATTATCAGGCAATTTACTAAAAGAATCAATAAAATTATTAGCATATCATGGTCATTTTGTTGAATGGGGTAAACGAGATATTTATGATAAAAATTCTTTATTAATGTTTCAATTACGATCAGACTGTAGTTTTCATGTGATTGATTTTATTTCACTAGCTGATCATGTATCACCTCTTATGCGTCTTATGCTTGAAGAAGCAATTGATTTATTTGTTCAACGTAAATTACGTGCTGTTGAACCAACAGTAACTTATGAACCATCTCAAGTAATAGAAGCATTATTAAGATGTAATAGTGGTCAAGTTATGGGTAAAACAGTTTTTCGTATAAGTTCATCTGATCAACCATTAACTATTAATAAAAAACAATCTAATAGTTTATTAAAAGGTAATCATATCTTTTTTTTTTCTTTTAATTATTATTTTTTCTTATTTCTTAATCAATAGTTGTAAGTGATAATACAATGTTTCCATTAGAAGTTTGTAATCAAGGAACAATTTTAATATCTGGTGGTTTTGGTGGTCTTGGTTTAACAATGTCTCGATGGATGATTGAACAACGAGGTGTTAAACATATAGCACTTATGAGTCGTCGAACATTAGTTCAACTTGAACAACCTTCAAATCCACAATATGATGATTGGTTAAGATTAAAACGAACAACAAAAGAATATAATGCTCATGTTGATGTTGTTCAAGCAGATGTAACAAATTTTCAACAAGTTCATGATTTAATTGAAAGATTTAATAAAACTTCTTATCCTATTCGTGGTATTATTCATAGTGCTGTTGTTTCAGAAGATCGTACTTTAGGTAATTTAACACAAGAACATTTATCACTTGTTTTACCACCAAAAGTTCGTGGTGCATGGTATCTTCATCAAGCTACACAACTTCTTCATGCACCTATTCATTTCTTTATTATGTTTTCATCAATTCGAAATCATTTACTTGAAGTTTCATCTGCTGGTTATAATGCTGGTAATCAATTTCTTGATGCACTTGCTCATTATCGATTTACAAAACTTAATTTACCAGCACTTTCAATTAGTTTATTAGCTGTAAGTGGTGCTGAAATGTTTCATCATCATAAAGAAATGCTCAGTACTTTAAAAGAGACACAAGGTTTTGAATTAATGCCAACACTAACTGTATTCGAATTAATTGAATGTTTTCATCAAACTCAAAAGATTTGTCCATGTCCTGTTATTTTTGCTGTTAATTGGCAAACATTACATCGAAATTATCCATCATTAGCTACATCTTATCTAAGAAAAATAGTTGATCAACGTTATAAAGAGATGAAATTTGATCAAATAGCATCATCATCATCATCAGGAAAAAACAATTCCACTGAGTCTGGTATGAATAAAAAAGAAACTATTATTGAACGAACTCAATCAGCTGTTGCACGATTATTAGGAGCAGCTAGTGTTGATCGTACAGATGTTGATCGTTCACTTGTTAGTCAAGGTATGGATTCATTAGCTGCTGTTTCATTATATAATTGGTTAGGTGAAGAAACTGGTATTTATATACCATTATCTGCTCTTCTTCAAGGACTTTCAATTGAGACAATTGCAACACTTGTTTATAATGAACTTAATGAAAAAGAACAAAAAACATCATCACCAGCTACAAAAGAACATGATTCAGATTTTGATTTAATTAATGAAAATGAAGTTCAGTTTTCTAATACATCAATATATACTGGTTTAGAGAATCTCATTTGTCTACATCGTTCGAATCAAAATAACACTTCAACTCTTTTTTGTATTACTCAAATATCAAATGATAATAATAATGAAGATTTATTTACATTATTTATTCAGAAATCATCTAATCAAAAAAATAAAATATTATCAAATGATATGTATGCTTTACAAGTATTATCATCTCTTTCTTCATCCTCTATATCTACATATGCGTAAAATCTTATTACACAAATGCGTCGTATTCAACCATGTGGATCTTATCAAATAGTAGCTATTCGAAACAAACCAGAAGAAACTATTGCTCATGAAATGTTAAAACAACTCAAAACACATTCACTCATTACTAATACGCAATTACATCTTTTAGATGCTCGCAAGTAAAATATATATTCACAATTATTATTTATTCTAATATTTAGAATTTAGTCACTACAAACTCGTTATTATTATTTTTTTCCTTTTCATTACCCATGTGACAATTTTAGCTAGAGAACTTTCCTAAAAAGTACTATTCATATTTTATTTTGAACAGTTTTATTTACTTGCAGTACTGCTATATAGTACTTTTATTATATTTTTTTTGATGTATTAAACTAACATATTTTTTTTTATTATCTAATATAATATCATATAACAAAACTCAATTAATTCTCTTGTTTCATTTTAGAGTATTATCAGAAAATTGGACTTTTGATAATAATATCCCTCTCATATGATGTGATCACATTCTTATTTCATATTTTCAAACATTTATTTTCTTTCTAATTTCTAGATTCTATTAAGCTACTTATTTCACATCAAAGGATTGATTTCTTTATTATACAATGCTTTCACGCAAACGTATCATAGCAGGAACAAATGTACATAAAGAACCGGAATTTACAACTTCAGAACGAACAGAAGCTGTTGCTTCATTTGTTCAACAAAGAATTTGGCTTCATGAACAGCTCTATTTTCATTCTTCTGACTTTTCTATCTACAATATTTTGGTACCATTGATAGTCAAACAAGGTTCATTGTCGATCAAACGTATTCGTTCAATTTTACTCACATTAATTGAACAACATAGTGTTCTTCGTACTGCTGTTCGTTTTAATCCACAAAGTAATCAAATCGAACAATATATTCAAGCTGCTACCCATGAAATTTATTCATTTCAACATTCACATGGTATTAGTACATCAGAAGAGCTTGATCGATTACTTACCAAGGAATCGATAGGAAAATTTTTCGATTTTGAAAAAGGCAAAGTGTTAAGATGTCATATAGTGCAGCGACAAGATGATAATAATAATGCTGATGGTTTATTATATGAAAATGATATAATTGCTCTCAGTTTTCATCATATTGCATTTGACAATAGTTCACTTATGGCATTTATAAAAGCATTCAAACAAATAGATTTGGCTAATGAGCAACAACCAATACTATCAGTTCCACAATATATTGATTTTGCATTATATGAACAAGCATTGTTAGCTGATACAAATATAGATTCAAAAATGAATAAAGCACGTCGTTATTGGTCAAATCTTATGAATGGTTATGATTGGAATCGAATACAAGATTTAGTACCTCATGAAAATAAAACTGATCAAATTCGTTCTGGTCGTGCTTATTCAACTGCATTTAGTTTTGATCAAAATATTGTTGATGCAATGATTTCTTTTGCTTCATCAAATAATCTAACAATGTTTTCATTATCTCTTGCTTGTTATTATGCATTTTTATATAAATTAATTAATATGGATGATGATGATTTATGTGTTGGAAGTGTTATAGCTAATCGAACAAAACAAGAAATGAAAGATATGATTGACATGTTTGTTAATCTTGTACTATATCGAATGAAAATGGAAGCAAATAATTCATTTGAATATCTGATACGAAAAATACAACAATTAAGTAGTGATGTTTTAGAACATTCTTGTTTACCTTATCAACATATTATTAATTCACAAGATCAACAAAATCATCAAGTATTACCTTCAACATTATTTCAATATGAATCTTTAGTATCATCAGTGACAGCAAAGAATAATATTGAATTTAGTACTATTGAAGGAAATTATATTCTTGCTGCTTATTTTGATCGAGATGGATCACATGGTAATGGTGTTGCAGCATTTGATCTTACTTTTACAATACCACATGATTATCATGCACGAACTACAGAGCGTTTTCTTGATTGTTCAATTGATATATTTTAAACTCAAACTAATGTCGATCTACTTGAAAATCGTTTTCAACATATGCTCACACAACTTTTCTCTTCTTCTTCTTCAGTTATTCATGTACCAATCTATAAATTATCCATTGTTCTTCCAGCTGAACAAGAATTTGTTCATCAAATAAATAATACAGATATATCGACATATTATTCATGGCCAAATACTGTTCATGAATGTTCTGTTCAACAAGCTCAATTATATCCACAAAAATTAGCTCTTGAACTCGATGAACAATCACTTACTTATAGTGAATTATTATATTCTGTATATTGTTTAACAAATTATTTAACTGATAGAATTCAACCAAATGAAATTATATGTCAATGTGTTGAACGATCTTTTGAAATGATTATTGGTATGTTAGAAATCTTATCAAGTGGTGCAGTCTATTGTCCTTTATCACCTTTGGATCCACCAGAACGACTTAAAACTCTTATTCAAGATACATCTGCAAAGACTCTTCTTATTCATAGTTTTACTTGGAAAACAATTCTAATGACTCATACATCATGTAATCTTATTATAACAGATTCATTTATTCTATTCAGTTATATTCGTAATAACAATGATCATCATATTACCAAGCCAAGATCTGTTACATCTGATAATATTGCTTATATTATTTTTACAAGTGGAACAACAAGAATACCTAAAGCAGTTATTATTTCACATTCTCATCTACTTTTATATCTTCAATCTTCTGTTGAAGTTGATGCATTGCGTACAACTGATAGAGCTATACAATTATCATCATGCACTTGGGATGTTCATATTCATGAAGTATTTGGTACTCTCCTTATGGGTGGTACTGTTATACTTTTACGTTCAGAACAAGGAAATCGTAATATGGATTATTTATCTCAAATTATTGAAATTCATCAAGCAACATATGTTTGTATTGTTCCTACATTACAAATTCTTTTGTTTGATATTGTAGAAGCACAAAAAGCATATTCCCGACTCAATACTCTTCGTTTAATATGGTCTGTCGGTGAGGAATATTATTAATCTTCTTTTATCAAATATTCATTTGTTTATATATTCATGTTCTTGTAGGTGAACCAATCTCATCTAGTTTTATTGCTCGAATTCTACCTATGTTACCTATTGGATGTCAATATATAAATTTTAGTGGTGCTACAGAAGGTACAGTCATACAAATGTTTCATGTTGTAACAAAAGATGATGGACTATCAGAATCAGGTACAGTTCCATCAGGTCAACCCATGCCTTATTTTCGATGGCATATATTGGATAAATTTCTACAAATTATACCAATCGGATACATAGGCGAACTTTTTGTAAGTGGACCTATTATGAATGGTTACTTAAATAGACCTGATCTCAATAACAAAGTATTGATTCAACTTCCAGATGAACCTGATAAAAGCTATAGAACAGGTGACTTAGCTCGATTAATACCTTCAACTGGTAAAATTCAATTATTGGGTCGGAATGATTTTCAAGTGAAAGGAAATGGACAACGAGTAGAATTAGAAGAAATTCAGGCAGTTATTTATCAATCTAATTCATCAATTTCTAACTGTGCTGTCATTAAAGTAGTTGAACGTGGACGAGACCATTTAATTGCATATATACAATTAAACAAAACATCTAAATCAGTTCCGTTTGATGAAAAATTAATTCGTATTAATTGTCAAGATCATTTACCACAATATATGGTTCTATCTCTTTTTATTCTAGTTGATCAATTACCATTTAATTCTAATGGAAAACTAGATAAAGCAGCACTTCCTAAACCTAATCTATCATCATTACTTTTACCAATAAATAATGATGAAATTTCTAATGATCAAGACAATGAAATATCAATGACAAATGAACAACAACTTGTACATGATCTTTGGTGTGATATATTACAATTGGATGTAGACTCAAAAATACCTATTAATCGTTCATTTTTCTCATTGGGTGGTAATTCATTAGCTATAATGCGTCTCTTTGCACAATATCAAATAAAATTTTCTCTTGATACTAAATCTTCGTCATCATTTAATATTGCTTCTTTATTTCGTCAACCAACTATTGCTGAACATACTCAAATTCTTCAACAATGGCTTGATCATACTTCTTCTCAAACTCATCAACCAACTCAATTATAGTCAACTCTAAATATTTCTTAAGGTAACCTATAATTTTATTTTTTTCTCCCTCTATACATATATATAAAATCTATTGTTTATTTTAGCTGAAGCATCCTATGGTTAACAACGTATTTTTGTTGATCAGACTATTCGTTTTTCAAATGAAACATCTGTATATAATGTTCCTTTAGTTTATTGTATTATATCTAATTTTAACATTCAACAGATTACAATTGATCGATTACGTCAAGCTATTGATACAATTATTGCTAAACATGCTATATTTCGAGCATCATTAGATTGGAATATAAATACAAATGTTTTAGTTCAATATATTCAACAATTTAATTATAGAAATCAATATGAATTTGTAATTAGTTATGTTGAAAATGATGAAGAAATAACAAAAATAATTAATAGAGAAATTACAAGTTCAAAATTATTTGATCGTAATCGAGGCATTGTATTACGATGTCACATAATTAAATATAATTCTACGAGAAAAGATGAAGAAATATGCTTACAAAATAATGATATTATTATTTTTAATCTTCATCATATTGCTTTTGATGGTGCTTCACGACGAATATTTTTTAGTGATGTAAAATATAATTTAGAAAATGATAGTACATTAATAAATAATGAAAATCAATTTCAATACATTGATTATTCAGTTTATGAAAAACAAATGGATATAATATCATCTTATCATTTCTGGCAATCACATCTTGATGGATTGAATTTCGAACGTCGTATTATATTACCTTTTGATCGGCATCGTTTATTAACTGATCAACATTCAGGTTTTGCTCATCTTATTGATATTCCATTTGATAATGATTTAATACATTCATTTCTTGATTATGCTTCTTCACAAGATATTACACCATTTCAATTAGGTCTTATCATATTTTATACATTTTTATATAAATTAAGTCATAATCAGAATGATCTATGCATTTCATGTATTCATGCTAATCGATATAGAACAGAATTACAAAATCTAATTGGTATGTTTGTTGCAACATTACCACATCGAATTCAGATTCATCCTACTTATTCATTCAATCATCTTATCAAACAAGTTCAAAATGAATTTTATTCAATTCTTGAACATACAAATTATCCTCTTCAACAAATACTTCAAGATTTAGATTATAAACATTCATCTGCTACTTTTCTCAATATATTATTTGATTTCATTACGTATTCATCTGATACTGATCTTCTATCTGTAAATCAAACACAATTTCAACCAGTACCACTGAAACAAATGCAAAATGTTGTTAAATTTGATATGAAACTATTATTTTTTCATGATCCAACAGTTCAAAATCAAACAATATCATGTTCTCTAATCTGTTCACAAGATGTATTTGATAGCGAAACAGTAGAAGAACTATCAAAACAATTTCAACATCTTCTTTCACAATTGTTTGTTAAACATCCATCTTCATTTGATTTAGTTAATCAACCAATATCGAAATTATCATTTTGTCGAGAAATGAATCTAAAGAAATACAACAAACAATCTTTCGCCGATTACCTAATATTAAGAATGAAGGTATGATTATTTGTATAGACTTCTATCTTATATAGTCTTTGTTCTGTTAAGGACCGGCTTCTTATGCACAATCTCGTATTTGGCTTGATGAACGAATTCGATTCGATCCAGATAAAGCACAAGTTGCAATCTATAATATGCCTTTTCTCTATCGTCTTCATTCAAAACATACATTATCAACTACAGAACTTTACCATGCACTTCAACTTATTGTTAAAAAACATCAATCACTTCGAACATCAATTATTTTCGATGATGAAACAAATCAAATCATACAACGAATTATTGATATCAATGATCGTACTAGAAAACTATTTACATTTATTGAAAGTACTTTCGAAACAGATGAAGATCTCAATAAAATTATGTCTGATGAGAAATGCAATTCTCAACTTTTTCATCTTGATCAAGGTCTTGTCTTTCGATAGCACATTCTCTATTATCAACAGATTTCTTCAAATAATCTTCTTTGTGATAAAGATAGAATTATTTTCAATTTTCATCATGTTTTATTTGATTCTCCATCAATGAAAATATTTCTTCATGATCTCAATGAAGCATATATGACAAATCAACTATCTATCAATCATAATACTGATCTACGTTATCTTGATTGTATATATTTCTCATATTTGTCTTTGTTATTAGATCTCATGTCTTTTCTACTTATTATTTAGATGCTCTTATTGAACAACAAATGCCAATGACTAGTGCAAATATGTTTTGGCTTGATACTCTTCTTGATTGTAATCTTGATCGATCGTTATCATTACCATATGATCGACATCGTCTTTCAAATGAACATCGAAGTGGTCGTGGAGCATCGATATCATTTGATTTTGGTCAAGATCTTTCATATAATTTTCTTAACTATGCATTAACAAATAATATAGTACCTCAGCATCTAGCACTTGCCGCTTATTATATGTTCTTATTTAAGTTAACTAATGGAGAAAGAGATATATGTATTGGAATGAATACACATACTCGATATAAAGATGAACTTAAATCAATAATTGGATTATATAAAAATCTTATTCGATTACGATGTCAATTAGATCGTCATGGTTCATTTCATCAACTAGTTGAATATCTTCAAGAAATGACAACAAATTGTATGAAATATTCGTATTTTCCTCTTCAAGATATTTTTGCACAACATTCTGATTGTTCAAAGCCTACATTTCTTGATGTATCGTTTGATTTTGTGGCTATTGAGAAGAAAATAATGATTGGTGATAGTGAACTTTGTAGTATTCCATTATCAATTACAATCAATGAAGATGAAGATGTGAGCAAGTTTGATTTCATTCTTACTATTCAATATGATCTCACCATAAATCAATTCTCATGTATAATTAATGCATCACTCGATTTATTCAATCAAGAGACAATAAATAAGATTTCACAACAATTGCATTCCATGTTATATGATTTATTTACATCTGTTAATAATATAATGAAAAATAAATCAATCTATGAAATGTCAATAATGTTATTAAATGAAAGATTACTTATACAATCAATGAACAATACACAAGTGTTGTTTCCTTCTGCCACTTGTATGCATCATGAATTTATTTATCAAGTAATACAACATCCACAAAAAATAGCTGTTGAACTTGATGAACAATCATTAACATATACAGAACTTTTATATTATGTTCAACAACTTTCTCTCGTCTTATTAAATAAATACAATGTGAAATCGGGTGATATTATTTGTCAATGTGTAGAGCGAAGTTTATCTATGGTAAATATATTTACAAAATATGCTTTGCAATAATATGGGTATAATATATCCTTTATTTCTCTTTAGGTCATTGGCATTTTATCAATTAGTATGGCTGGTGGTGCTTATTGTCCTTTATCATCACAAGATCCTTCACAACGTCTACAAATTCTTGTAAAAGAAACTCAAAGTCATTTAGTTCTTGTTCATTCGTCCACACGCATTCTTTTTGAACTCGATATTGTAACTTTAAATATTGATACAATTATAAATAATGAAGAAAATTCTACTAGTATTCATCTGACTCAAATGTTAGATGTACCAATAACATCAGAAAATATTCTCTTTGTAATTTTTACTAGTGGATCAACTGGTATTCCGAAAGCGGTTTGTATAATATCTTTTCTTTTTTGACTATTTGTATTTTTTTCGATGTATTCATTTTTTATTAGGTTTAACTACGTCATCGAAAATTCACTCAATTTTTACGCTCATTTGTTTATGCTGATATATTAACAAAAACTGATACAATAATACAGATGGCTCGATGTTCTTTTGATAATCATCTATTAAGTCTTGTGGGTACATTAACTATTGGAGCTACATTAATAATGCTTCGACCAGAAGGTCATATAGATTTAGATTATCTTACAAGAGTATTGAATGAAAAACAGATTACTACTATGCATACTGTTCCATCTTTATGGAATAGTCTATTTAATTTTCTCAATATTACTAATCGAACATCGTCATTACAATGGTTACGAACTGTATGTAGTGGTGGTTAGTCATTGTTATTTTAGAATTATTCTGTTAGATTATTATCATATTCTTTTTGACTCATTCTATCATAGGTGAAGTTCTCAACAATAAACTAGTTAATCTATTGAAAAGTCAAGTGCGAAGTGAATGTCGAATTCGAAATCATTATGGTCCAGCTGAAATTACTATTAATTGTACGAACTATCTAATTGATCTAAACAAAGATCAAACAAATATTCCAATAGGTCAACCTTTTCCTAATTATCAATTTTTAGTATTAGACATGTTCTTACAAACTGTTGATATCGAACAAGAAGGAGAATTAGTTGTTGGATATGTTGGTCGTGATGATTCAACAGCTAAAGTAATGATTAATATTAATGAGCAAATATTTTATAAAACAGGTGATCTTGTTCAAATGGATAGCAATGGACTGATTCATTATGTTGGTCGGAGAGATTTTCAAGTGAAATTACGTGGACAACGTATTGAATTACAAGAAATTATACAACGTTTACTTATGTTAACATCCATTAATGCATGTGTTGTTATCAAATGGGATGAAAACCATCTTATTGCTTATGTTCAAAGTGATAACATTAATGTTGAACAATTACGTCATCGTTGTCAATCTAATCTACCATCACATATGATTCCATCAATATTTATTATACTTGAAAAACTACCTTTGAGCCCAAATGGAAAAGTAGATCGAAAACGCCCTCCACCACCAGATTTATTATTATTGACCCTCTCATCAACACCATCATCATTAACGACAACAGCATTAGAAAACAGATCTAATCTTCCACAAAATCAATTACAAAAAAAGATACATGATATTTGGTGTGAAATTCTTCGATGTATTGGACAACAGATTTCAACAACTGCAAATTTCTTTAGTATTGGTGGTCATTCACTTTTATTTATTGAACTTTATCATCGATATCAACAATTATATGATTTTGATAATCGTGTACTTTCTATTGCTTTATTTCTTCAACAACCAACTATTCTTCAACATTCATAATTACTTCAATCTATTACAATCAATCAAATGAAATCAGAACATTGGCATACACTACATATCAATCAAGATAATAAAAAATTGTAATGTTAATATTCAAAAAATAAACTAAAATATTGTTTTTTCTCTCTCTCATTAATAATGAAAATCTTTAGGTATTGCATCTTTTGCTCAAGAACGTATTTTTCTTGATGAACAAATACGTTTTTCTAATAAAACTGCTATCTACAATGAACTGACTGCTTTAAAAATTATTCAAGGTTCAATATCAATAGATCGTCTATTAGAAGCTATTGATTATATTTTAAATAAACATAAAATATTAAGTACATTTCTTATTTTTAATAATGACAATGGTATCAAATTTTATTAAGTCTGAGATACGCGCAACTGTCAATGATCCTACTATTGCCAGACTCTTGCTGCCATATAATCATCTTTTTGGTATCAGACGTCCCTGTAGTGGCACTGATTATTATGAAACATTTAATGACGATAATATCACACTTGTTGATCTTCGTTGTAGAGGCATCGATGAAATTCAGACAATAGGAGTTCGAGTGGGGAACAAGACCTATGAAGTAGATGACATTGTCCTTGCACTTGGATTCGATGCCTTCACTGGTGCATTACTCAATATAGATATTCACGGCCGATCAAGCAAGGCACTTCGAGAAAAATGGGAAAAAGGATGCAGTACTAATCTAGGTCTGATGATTGCTGACTTTCCAAACTTATTTACAATTAGTGGCCCCGGTGCTTCATCTGACTTAGCTAATATGATTCCACATATCGAACAACATGTTAAATGGATAACAAAATGTTTGGAATGTCTACGAACGCATGATATCAATATAATGGAACCTTCTCTAGAGAAAGACAATACCTGGGTTAAACATGTAGATGATGTTATCGAAAATACTCTTTTTCGAACAGCCAAGTCAATCTATAACAGAGCAAATATTCCTGGAAAACCACGAGTCTTTATATCTTATGTAGGAGGCTTTGATATTTATATGGAAAAGTGCGAAAAAATTGCCAACAATGATTATGAAGGTTTTCATCTGAGGAAGTAACTGCGATCATTACAGCATAAGTGATGCAGAACATTCACATTAGTTTTACTTTTAATGTAATTTCGTGACAGAATATCGGACAGTTCTCATTTCTTTGTTTGATTCGATACGAGTTTCGATGAGACCGATTATATTTGCTTTATTCTTTTCAGATAATTCTATTTCTCATAGTACTTGTTTATTAAGCTTCTGCTACTTAACAAATCCAAAAAGAAAATGAAAACAATGATGGAAATGGCTTTATTACATAAGGTTCAAGAGCAAGAAATGATGCTTTCACCAGCATCATCAGCTATTCCTACTGCTGGGTGTTCGCGAGGTACTGCATCGTTCGCACAAGAACGGATATGGCTCGATGAAAAGATCCATCACGATCCATTCATATCACCTGCAATGCATAACTTTGTTCTACCTTTGGTGGTTAAGCATGGTTCAATGTCAATCGAGCGTATTCGTTCGGCCGTTGTTGCTGTTCTTGAACAGCATGACATACTTCGAACAGCAATTTACTTCGATGAAAATCGTAACATGTTGGTCCAAGCAGTGCAATCTGTGGACAACAAAGATGCTTATTCTTTTGAAATAACAGCAAATGATATACAAAGTCTCGATGAAGTTGCTGATCTACTCAAGAATGAATCGGTCAAGCATTTTGCTGAACTGGAGCAGGGTTTAGTTGTTCGTTGTCATCTTGTTAAGGTGGGATCTGACGATGACATGGACAAATTACATCCTCAAGATCTGGTTATTTTCATATTTCATGGTGTAGCATTCGATTATAATTCTGTTAGTCCGTTCCTTGCTGCCTTTACAAAAGCATACGATCAGATAGAATTGGATGTTGAAAAGTTACAATATATCAGTTTTAGTCTATATGAGCATCAACAATTCATTAATATCCCTGAAGACTCTCAAATACGAAGAGCTCAGCAGTTTTGGTTAAAAATGATGGATGACTATAGTCTTGATGCAAACTATCCGACACCATTTACGCGCCCATTCGACACAAAAAAGCGAACTGGAGAAGGGCGTAGCACTTCATTTATACTGGATTCGACTCTCGTAAAAGGTCAAATGGAACTTGCATCGTTATATGGTTTGTCTATGTTTCATACAGCATTAGCGTGCTTCTTTCTCTTTATTTATGAACTTAATGATGGTACTATTAGTGACTTGTGTGTGACCTGTTCTACAGAAAATCGATCATTCGTTGAGACAAAATGCATGATAGGTACGTTTGCGAATATATTACCATATCGTATCAAAATTAA